ATTGTGCACCCCAATAAACTTATCTTCGGGTCAGAGAACAGAACAGCTACTATATTAAACATAGGTTTGGGCAGTGGCAGCACATGCCTTTAATCCTAGCATTCTGGAGGCAGAGGAGTTCAAAGCCACACTGGAAACAGCCAGGCATGGTGACACACGCCTTTAGTCCCAGGAAGTGATGGCAGGAAGCAGAAAGGTATATAAGGCATGAGGACCAGGAACTAGAACCTTTTTAAGCTTTTAGCTTTTAGCAGCAGCTCAGCTGAGATCCATTCAGATGAGGACTCAGAGACTTTCAGTCTGAGGAAACAAGTTCAGCTGAGGAGTTGGCAAGCTGAGGTTGAATGTGGCTTGTTCTGTTTCTCTGATCATTTAGTGTTCACCCCAATACCTGGCTCCAGGTTTGTTTTTATTAATAAGGCCTTTTAAGATTCGTGTTACATATGTCCTTTGCAGCAACAGTAGAAGGCACATCTGAGCCCACCTGGGCCACAGCACACTGCCCAGGTTTGTTGATTGAATACTTTAGATATGTGACCAGAGCCATACACGGAGACACTTGAGCCACAGCTGGTTGTGGCGTGTAATGTGGGGACCAGAATCCTTGGGCCACCGGAAGTGATGAGGCCGTGGAGGGTACCCAGGCAGTCCTCTTAGAACCATCATACCCCTCTAGGATTCTGGGCCTTTGATGAGACAAGCAGACTCAAAGATTCTGAAATCGCTCCGTAGCCATTCCCCATTGCTCTGATGGGTAGGACCTGGCTCATCTGCACTTGCCCTGACCTCCCTCAGAAACAGCAGCTTGGCCACACACTTAGCAATCTCTGTGATTTTTGACTCTTGCATGACCAGGCCACTAATTTCCCCAGTTCCAGTGCTGTGTTTCCCTCTTAACTATGACTCCCAACCTTAGCTATCCCTTAGCTGCTGCATCCCATAAGTGGTTAAGACCAGGGAGTGTCTGAGGAGTGCTGCGGGATAGGTGGGTCTTCTTCCAGATACACCATGTTGTCACCCTGTCTCCATAGGGCAGAAAAAGAGCTCACACAACCCCTTTCCTAGCAGCTGTGTATTAGGATGACTTTTACTCTGTGTTCTTAGAAGACATCCTCATTTCTACCTACAACCTCATCAGCATGGCCTTTGCTTCCCACAGTACTATCAGTATTATGGCCACAACCATATTAGTTCCATGATGCCCTTAGACTTGTGGGGGGTGATATATTGTGTACCCTAATAAACTTGCCTGAGGATCAGAGGACAGAACCAGCGACTAGATTAGACACAGAGGTCAGGCAGTGGTGGCATACACCTTTAATCCCAGCACTTGAAATCTAATGCCTTTGCTTGGGAAGCACATGCGCCTCTAATCCCAGGAAGTAATATGGCAGAGAAAGGTATATAAGGCTTGAGGAGACAGGAACTCACTCTCTTTAGGCTGAGGGTTTCATAGAGGTAAGAACTAGTGGCTGGCTGTTCTGCTTCTCTCTCTAATCTTTCAGCTTTCACCCTGATATCTGGCTCTGGGCTTTTTATTAAAAGACCATCTAAGATTCAAACAACATCTGGCATCCAACTTGTAGGGCACCAATTCACGAAAAAGCCGCTTGCCTGTGGCCTGGCAGGCCCCAGCTCAGGCCCGAGCTGAACACCGCTGGAGTCTCCACCCCATGTGGGCCAGAGTCCCTAACTCACTGGCTTTTGTTGCATCTGCACTGCAGCAAACGCCATTAATTTTGGGGGCTCCAAAGTTAATAGTAGTTAGCTACTTTCTTGTGTTCCCTCCTGCAGAGAGCTGGCTCTTTGGCTTCTTCTCTCCTGATGAATTGCGGGCTCTCCCTGAATCTCCATCTTTGGCTGCTACCACATTAGGTAGCTGCCTTGAAACCCTGCTCAGGCTTCCACTGTTCTATGCAGAAGCAGTCAGCTTCACATCTGAATCGTCATTGTTGGCAGATATGATGAGTCGATTGAGATTTCTTTTTTTTTGTTTGTTTGTTTTGTTTTGTTTTTCAAGACAGGGTTTCTCTGTGCAGTTTTGAGCCTTTCCTGGAACTCGCTCTGTAGACCAGGCTGGCCTAGAACTCACAGAGATCAGCCTGCCTCTGCCTCCCGAGTGCTGGGATTAAAGGCGTGTACCACCACCACCCAGCAAGATTTTTTTTTTTTGGATTTATTTATTTATTATGTATCAGTGTTCCGTCTGCATGTTGCTTGCCAGCCAGAAGAGGGCACCAGATCCCATTACAGATGGTTGTGAGCCACCATGTGGTTGCTGGGAATTGAACTCAGGACCTCTGGAAGAGCAGCTAGTGCTCTTAATTTCTGAGCCATTTCTCCAGCCCCGAGATTCCTTAAAGGGAGGAATTAGTTAAAAGAAAGTTTTTTTCCCACATTAAAAAATGGAAAACATTTTTACAATGGAGGGTGTTTGGTCTCTGTTTGACAGTCTGAAAATAGAACAATTAAATGAGAGGATAATTAATATAGATGGGATTTATGTAATGTCAATTATGAATATTATTTGTTTGATCCTTTTTTGTTTTATCATTTAAAAAGTTGGTTAATATGAGTGTCAAGATAAAAGTTTTAGAAAAACTTGTTAAAACAGATCATAGAGAAATTCAGACCCAGACAGAGGAATTTAAAGGTGAACCAATCTCGGCATTGCATCACACGGATACAGAGAAACAGCCTAAGGCTTTCAAACAGCCAACCTTAATCTATCCAGTAGCCTTACAGGAACTGCAAGATGCTCAAGGCTGTGTAAGAGCTGATTGGAATCTTGTACAAATGTTAGATTTGAGGCGATTGAAAGAAGCAATAGTGTCATATGGTATGCATTCCCTATTTGTGAAGCAAATGTTAAACTCATGGTCAACTTGTAATAGAATTGTCTCCCAAGACTAAAGATATTTGGTTACAGTCATCTTAGAGACTGGTCCACAATTACAATGGAGGACCTGGTAGAAGGATGAAGCTAAGGACACTGAACAATGAAGTAGGGCTAGAGATATGGAAATCTCCCAAGACCAACTTCTTGGAAAGGGAGATTATGCTAATGTAGAAAGGCAATCTCTATATGATGACCACACCCTGGCTTTATGCTGAACGGCAGCTTTGAATGGTTGGGATAGAATTGAAGAAGTAGGAAAGGAAATTGAGTAATTTACAAAAGTTATACAGGGCCCAAAAGAAACCTTCACTGATTTGTTACAAAGGCTGTCTTCAGCAGTAAAAAGAATGTCACCAAATTCAGGAGGTAGACAGATAATAATTGAACCTCTGGCTTTTGAAAATGCTCATGCACAATGCAAAAGGATAATTAGGCTGTTAAAAGCAAGATCAACACCCTTAGAGGAATGGATCCCAGACACAATTAATATTAAATCTCATGACCATGATGATACTTAGATAGGAGAGATGATTTCCAGAGGTTTGAAGAAAAATAGTAATGTCATGTATTTCAATTGCAGTAAACAATGTCACCTAAAAAGGGACTGTAAACAGGATGTTCCTAGAAACAATATTTTTTTGCTAGGAACAATCCCAATGGAATGCCCCCCTTCTGGATTATGCAGAAGGTGAAGCAAAGGCAAACATTGGACTAAAAAATGTAGACCAAGAAGGGACAGGCAAGGTAATCTTTGGCCTTTGCTGTCGGGAGAAACTCCCTGAGGGGCCTCTCGAAAGCCTCCATGACAAATTCCATTCAGTCCTTTCCTGCCATCATAGAAGAAACTCCTTCCCAGAGCAATTAAAGAACCTAATGACTATTGTAAGAAACCATACTGCTCTAGATAATAGAACAACTTTAGAAAGTAAAACAAAAACTTAAGTAGAAACTTATAAACCAAAATTGATAAAAATTAGATTGGGAACCTCCTCAGTGTTAGGGTTGGGGAAGGGTTTTACTTTTGTTTTTCAGGAGAATGAAGGCTAAGGAATCTGAAGAACACTGGACAAATGAAACATCTGAATGAAAAGGACAAATCATCCAGAAAACTTGCCCCAAGAAAAAGATTTTCAGCAGTGAACCATGACCATACTTAACAGCAACTTTGAAGTCTCCAAAAAGATGATGGGACCCCACAATGACAATTCCATCAGGATAATACCACTAAGATGACAAACACCATCCAAAGATCGGCTTTGGACTACAAACTGCTCAGGACAACTTCGAGATGGCTAGCTGAAATGATCCAGCCTCACAGACTACTTGAACAAGGACTTGAGACAAACCCTGCACTTTCCCATTATTCAGAGACTGGACAAATGATATAGCTATCTCTCCCAGGACTTGACAATTAACCCAAAAATTTCCTTTTCAGGATTACCTAAACATGCCTTTGCCCCTAGACAGCAGGAAGTAATTTTAAGAACACAATGCCCACATTCCCAAGAGGTGGGGTGAGTGGTTTTTAGTCATTCTTTGGGTTATGGATAATTGTCATTATTTAGAATGGTTGGTTACAATTTGTTAATTGATAATGGTCAGAAAAAAAAGCTAAACAAGGAAATTAGATTTAGGGTTCTTGTGTTAAAAAAAAGAAAAAGAAAAAAGAGAATATAGATAAGAGGTAGATTATTGAATCTACTCTGAAAAAAAGAGATATAGAAATAATAGGATAAAAGGGTAGATTATTGAATCTACTCTGAAAAGAAAAAAGGGGAGGATGTAGATATGATAAGATAAAAAGGTAGATTATTGAATATACTTTTAGAAAGCAATTACTAGTTTTAAATATTTTACATTGGATTGGATTTTTGTATATTGTATACAAATTATGTATATTGATACAAATTTGAGATTAATTTTGTTAGAAAATACTGTACATATATTTCTAATCTTGTTCAAGGTATTGTACCTATACAACTCATTTAACAATGTAATGTAAACTTCTAGTCCTTAAAAGTTATTATTACCAACTAATGAGAATATGAAGAAATGAAAGTTAGTAGCTAGTCATTACATTCAAACTGGTAGTCATGTCAGGTATGTTTTTCAAGGTCAAACAGAGATATATTTTAGACAGGTCATCTTCAAATACTTCAGAGATTACAGAATTTGGCATTCAAGATGTTTTAATAACATAGATTCTTTCTTTTCTTATGACAATGAGACATGTCTGCTCCTGGCAGCACCATTATTTTTCAGAGAAGATGATGGGCATTGAAGAAACTCCATATGGAATTTACTTTCTTTGTGGCAAAAGTTAGCCACTGGGCAAGAAAATGCCCTTGCCTTGACTGCTGACAGTGTGCTGTTCAAAATGGACAAGCAGGACACAAAAGAAAAGACTGCCAAACCTTGTCAAAACAAGGTTAGAATGCTCTTTAGAAAATCCTGCTTCACAGAAAAGTCTGTTAGATATGCTAAGCCTGTAGGCCAAAGATGGATGCCCCAATGTTACAGAGAAAACTTGGGTGACTGTCCAGGCAGCTGGCTGTTGCTGTCATTTCTCACATTTTTTGGAAGCTGCTTGTTTGCACTTCTTGCTTACTTAAGTACTATTATTTCCTTCTTGAGTCTCTGAGGGAGTTGAAGATTAGATAGTTATAGTTTTCCTTGTTAACAAATTCAGAAAAGAAACTCACTAAAGATGTGTAAAGTGTATAAGTTTGAATGACATCAAAGGATAGTTTTGGGTTGGTAATACAAGTTAGGATAGAAAGTGAATTAGGTACAACATTTGGGACTCACCAAAATAAGATAGATAATAGAGTATTTTCTCTGAATCTGTCAAATATTAATGGACTGGATATTGTTAATGTAATTCTTGTCTGTATATATTGTATATACTTACTGTACTTATTGTACATAGTTTTATTATATTAGTTATAACATTCTTTTATTATTTTAGACAAAAAAAGGGAAATTTGATGATATATTGTGTTCCCCAATAAACTTGCCTGAGGATCAGAGGACAGAGCCAGCCACTAGATTAGACATAGAGGTCAGGCAGTGGTGGCACACACCTTTAATCCCAGCACTTGAGATCTCATGCCTTTGCTTGGGAAGCACACATGCCTTTAATCCCAGGAAGTAATAAGGCAGGGCAGAGAAAGGTATATAAGACGTTAGGAAACAGGAACTTACTCTCTTGAGGCTGAGGATTTCATGGAGATAAGAACTAGTGGCTGGCTGTTCTGCTTCTCTGATCTTTCAGCTTTCACCCTGATATCTGGCTCTGGGTTTTTTTTTTATTAAAAAACCATCTAAGATTTGAACAATTGGGGGACATGCCTTATCCCAGAACTTGGGAGGCAGAGGCAGGTAGATCTCTGTGAGTTCGAGTCCAGCCTGGTCTACACAGCAAGTTCCAGGACAGCCAGGGCTACACAGAGAAACCATGTCTCAAAAACAAAACAAAAAACAAAAAAAAATTAAAAAAAAGATTTCAGTATCTTGGGCTATTTTCATTATGTCTCTAGTGCAACATTAAAATGTTAAAATTTTAATGCTTTTATAAAGTCGTTTTATACATAACTAAATTAATGTCTACATCGATAAATAGTACACAAAATGAATATTATACCACAAAAATCTCCATACTTGCCCATCAGTAGACTACAAAGTGTAGAGCCTAATTTAGTGTCTTTTCAAGCTATATATGTTCATTTTTAAAAAGTTTGAGCATGGGTTCTAGAACTGCAGTCCATAAAGCCACAGATCCTGACCCCACGTGGCTTTGCTGAGACTGACGGGCCTTTGGAAGGCACAGCATATCACTAGATTTCTCCACACTCCTTGGATGCCAACAAAACCATCACTGCTTGATCAAATACCCCCTTGGCACACACTTAACTTTATTCATGTCTAGACTTTCTTGGACTTGTACCTTACCACTGAAAGGCAGAGAAAGCTTCTCAATGAATATGAGCATCATACAACGGCTGTCTCTAAGAGCCAGGCATTGCAGCATCTGCTACACCGGAGGCCTCTCTCTTGTTCTGTCTTCTTTTAAGGGGAGACTCTAAGACCAGTGACGTCAGATGTGTAATGATGATCCCAACTCTCAGAGAGGGACACTGGGTCATTCACGGGCACTGAGAGACTGGAGCTCACTTTCCAGTGCAGGCACAAGCCACACCGTAAGGCAAAAGGGGACCTAGAGAACCCACGCGAGAGCTACAGCAGCTGAGACAAAGCAATGATCCAGCAGCTCCCTCACCAAATCAATTATTTTTTAAAATGCTAATGTAAGCAGCAAAGTCACTAAATATTTTTAAAAATAGAAACAGGTTTTGCTAAGTCATAGTTGTGAGTTAGTTCAGAATACTAGCCTCTGAACATACTGCTGCGTGATCACAAATTATCCACACTGTTTCTGACTCAGCCTCGTACTCTGTTTTCCTCTATGAGCACAGAGAAGCCCAATGGTTACTTATTGCAGCAGCAGAATAAAGATGCTGGAGGGTCATCTTCTAATCTGTATTTTCCAGAGCTGGGGAGGTCTTTGCAGTCTGCGATAAACTTTCGAAGCTCTGTTTCTGGAAAGCCATTTTGCTGGTAGTGCTACATGGAAGAAGGAAAACATCCTTGTTAATAGGGCCCCCTCCAACAGCTGTATTCCAAACCCATAATGGAGCATTTGGCAAAGGGATCTCTCTGGGGGATAGTTTGGCACTCCCAGGCATTTCTACGAGAGGTCACCTCTGGAGTCGCTCTTAGGCTAGGTGGAATGAAATGGGCCTGGGACTCAGCATCAAACCTGTGCTTGCTCGTCCCAGTCACCTACAGAGACATGTGAACCTTGTCTGTACCCCTCTCCTGGGAAATGCGTAGCCAACTTTGTCCTAAGTCCTGCAGTGTCCACCACCGGTCTGCCCTCAAGCCTACCCATTTCCCAGCCGTGTGAAGAAAGCTCCTTAGGTGGAGCCTGGTTCAGGCAGCCAGAATCCCAATCATTCTAGATTAATGGAGCCTGGCTGGGATCTGAGCTGTGAGCGACTCTCATCTTCCACGGCTGATCTCACAAAGCTGTGCCTTTCTCAAATGTCTATTTGGTACACCCAGTGCCTCTGACCACTATTAGACTAACAAAAGATTGTAAAATGTACTTAAGGGTTGGGGACATGCAGTTCAATGGCACAGGGTTTGCCTGGCATGTGCTGGGCCCTGGGTTTGATCCTTAGAACAACTAACAATATTCTTTTAAAAAATGAAAAAATAATTCTCTTTCATTTTCTTGACATGAATACTGAGAAACAAGAAATTCAACATTCTAGAAATTCCATTTTTCCTTTACTTTTTTCTATTGCCCAGGTGTTAAAATTGAGTTGCGTCTCTCTGCACCGATGCTCTCCCTCTTAGCACTAAGCTGCCTTGCCACGACACATGTTCTAGAACAGGGTGCCCCCACTGTCAACGAACCTACCTTAATTGTTTCATACGTGTCTGTGATCAGCGCAATGAAAAGGCTCAGAATCATGTATATGAAGAGGCTGATGAAGGAGTAGAGGTAGATTCGGCTGAACAGCCACACCAGGTAACTTTTCTGCTGCATTTTTGCAAACGTGGAAAACATATCGTCTCCATTTATCAGAGAGAAAAGGCACTCGGAGACCCTGTTCAGAGAACGGAACTGGGGGAAGGGGGCAAGAAAAGTTTGGTTTCTTGTTCTTTCATGCGGAGGCTTTTGTTCATGACATCATCCTGACAATAGTCTGACCTGCTATCCCAGGTGACACTTTCCCAACAACCACCCCCAGGTAGCCACAGCGCTTGCTTGGCTGCACATGCCATGTCCCAGCCTGCTGCTTCGTCCAGGGTCAAGCTGCTCTTTCTTGACACTCCTCTGCGCTGCAGCAGCCTGAACAAGAGCAGGAAGGACAGTTCTGCTCTCCTGGTGCCTTTCAGAGTCATGCTGTCCCTTCCCTGACCCGACCCCACCCAACCTTCCCTTCTCTTCCCCTCCTCTTCCCTTCCCTTTCTCCTTTCACAGAAAGAAACCCTTGAAATGGTTTTAATGCTTCTGCAGAGACATCCAGGTTCCAGACTCCCATGGTCCTTGGTCTTATTTTGAAGCTCATCCAAACTCAACATAATGTCTACGATTCAAGATGGCGGTCCTCACACTTTTCAAATATCCCTACAGGTTTTTTCCCTATAGTTGTATGGGTGTATAGCAGTGAACTCAAACGGACTAAGCAACTTCACTGGCTGTACATAATTATCTATGTATTCCAAATAGGATTTCAAGCAATGGAACAGATCAATGATTCTAGAAAGGTGTTCACATCTGACTGGTTTACAAACAGTGATGCATTCACTATTAGATCTGTTTGTAGATGTAGATGTACGACTTTCTGCATTTTAAGGCTGAATTGCATGATCAAAGGAGTTCATTTAAGAAGGATAAACACTGTTGGCAGTTGATGGCTGTTGGTTGCAGGGAATCAGTGTGTGGTCCTTAGTAGGGTGACCATACTACTGTGGATGATTCCACACCCATGTGCACGTGGGCTGCACTAATTGAACCCATTGGGCTATTTAAAAAAAAGGGACATAAAGTTAGAATCTGGAAGGAACTGGAGAAGTAGGGGATGAATATGATCAAATATTCTGTGTATATGTGCAAAAGTCTCAAAGAATAAATAAAAGTATGAATATTTTTAAAAAGGATAAAATAGCAAATTAGGTATGTTGGCACACACCTGCCATCCCAGCACTTGGGAGATAGAGGAGGATCAGGACTTCAAGGACCTTGACTATTTATGTGAGTTCAAGGCCAACCTGAACACAAACAAAAATAGAAATGAATAAAAAGTAGTAATCACAAAAATAGAAGCCATTGACCTTGTCATTTCAGGTTAATAATGTCAGGAAAAAAGTTAGCTGTCAGTACCTTGTCGTGGTAAGGGCCCAGGACAATCCATCCACAAAAGCAGTAGCCTAGATAGATCATAGCGGCACAGCAACAGAACCTGATGACGTTGGGCAGCGCTGCCTGCAGGGTCAGAATAAGGAGCTGTGGAAGCAAGAGGGGGCATTAGAATCCCTCTGCCCTTTAGTCAAAGCAGTGGAATCATTCTGATGGGTTCTGTAGGACTGCTTACATTGTACTTTGCAAAGAAACCCAGGTATCGGATGACGCCGAGCCACACGAGCATAGTTGAAGTCCCAAGAAATATGCTACAGACATCGTAGCTTGTGAGACTCTAGACAGAATGGGAAAGATTGGTTAAATAGCAGTATGTCAGTTGGGTAAGAAATATTAAGTAGCTGAGCACCAGGAGCTGTTCTAGGTGTGAAGGATAAAGCAATTGACAAATAGTTTTTACCCTCAGGAAACTTACACTCTAGTGGAATGTGTGGAACATAAAACAACATTAGATGAATGCAGCCTTCGGCACATTCATTGATGCTAAGTACTGAGGAGAAAGACCAGTCAGAGGGAGAAGAAGGAGTATGAGTTTGCAGTTTGAAATAGGATGAGCAGGAAAAATCTCAATGAAAGGTGACATGGAAGCAAAGATCCGAAAGACATGAGGAAGAAAGTTAAGCAAAATCTAGAAGAAACTTCAGCACACAGAACAGCAGATACAAGGGACCTGCGGCACCAAGGAACCTGGCAGGAAGTGAGCAGCAGATGGAGTGTGGAGACACGGGGGTCATGGGTGGATAGTATAACACCTCATGGGTACTTAAGGTTGTGGTTTTTGTCAGAAAGGGTCAGGGAGATTTGAGAGCTTTGAACAGGAGCGACATAATCAAATGTTGGCTGTGTGGCTAACAGCAGATTAATGCAGGGATGAGAGGGGTCCTGGAGAAATGTGACTGAGAGCCAGTGATGACTTGGTCCAGGCTGGAATTATAAAGGCGATGGGGTCATTTTCAAAGGTAGACCACGTAGGTTCCCTCTGGGATTCAGCACAGGAGAGAGGGGATTCATAAAAGAGAGAAACGTCAGTGAACGTGTGGTTTGGGGCGTGAACACACAGAGTTGCTGTCACTGGACACTGGAAACTCCGTGGGAGAAGTAGATTTGGATTGGGGAGCATCGGGGGAGTTCTGAGCTAGGTGTGTTAAATCTGAGAAGATAGGTGGATAGTCAGGAGAAGACACAGGGTCAACACTTGGATATTCAGGATGCATCACAGAAACTTCCTAGGTGGAGATGCAGATTTGGCAAACATTGGCAATTAAATACCAAAACATCTATCTGGGTCAAGACGATAATACCAAGCAGGATGTCTCAAAGTGTTCTCACATTAGGGATTGGCCAAGTGAGAGGGGACCAGCAAGGAAAGCTTTGAAAGCCAGTCAGGATCGGGAGGAAGCCTGGATAAGTGTCCTTCAGCTAAAAGGCAACCCAACACAAACCAGATCAGCAGTGAAAAGCTACTGCAATGATCCGTGGGATATCTGCAGAAAGGAATTTCCATGGGGAAGTGAGGCAGGCAGCCAGGCTGGAAGACATACTAGAAGAACAGGGGTGGGGGGAGCAGAATCGTCAGCAAGGTGAATTGGTATTTTGAGATCTTTCATTCCATAAAGTGGAGCAGAGTCGTGGGGAAACAGCTGGGTAGAGGAACTGGGGTTTTAATTTTACAAAAGAAGCAAAAACCACATGGGGAAGTTACGGAAGAGCAAGAACTGCCAGAGAGGAGAAAGAGGAGCTGAAGCTATGTTCTCCGCAGAGAACCTGGGGTCAGCTCCTGAGAGGCAAGCGAAGGAGCTAGCCTTGGACAGCAGCCGGAATCACTCAGAGCATGAGAATATACACTGGGGACCATGAGGCAGGGCAGGGGAGCTGTGGAAGGGGTGTCTCTTTCAGTTATGAAACAGGAAGTGAGGTGGGGGTGAAGGGGTGTGCTAGAGGTTTTAGAAGAGAGGACGATGGTCCAGAAAATGAAGAAAATGTTGGACACTATTAAAGGCTCACCAAAGGAAATGATAGCTGAGATTGGTAAAAACAAAGAATTGTGCTCTGTGTGGTATGTGCCTGTAATCCCAGAATCTGGGAGGTGGAGGCAGGAAGATCAGAGTTCAAGGCTACATGGTGAGTTCAATGATAACCTGAACTGCATGAGCTCCTATCTCAAAAGTAATAAAATAAATATTTACTACAAATCCACCATCTTTTTGTTGTTGTTGTTGTTGTTGTTCCCTAAAGCTAAACTACTCAAAGACAGCCATGACCCTTGGTGAGCGATATTATGCGCTGCCTCTGGCGGTCTCCCGTCCCCATGCCCCCGCCCCCCCATTCTCTCAAACATATGTCTGTTTATTCCCCACGTGCCCTTGCAGGTGAGTTTGACTGGCTTCACTTTAGACGGTCTGAACAGGAATGAAACCTGCTACTCCTGAGCCTAGGCCATGTGACATGGGAGAGCTGCCCCCCAGCTGGGGTTTTCACTTCCCATGGGCTGTAGCAGTTCATGAGGCAACCCTGTGTCGATCATGAAGTCAGGATGAGCTCTTAACTTCTGACAAAGAACAAATGAAGAGACTTCAGGTCCCTGAATGACTGCACAGAGCTGAACGACCTGCCAATGTAGAGCCCCACCCTGACTGTCTCAGGAAAGAGAACAAGCTGCCCTTTGACCCTGCCCCTGTGTTGTGAGTCTGCCTACGTTTATAACCAGCTTCCTAGATGATGTGCTGTTAATTACAGCAAGAAAGTATAAAATTGAGCAAGATTCATTTGAACATTGTTAATATTTTTATTTTTGTTTGGGGAGAAAGATTAACCCTAGACTAATCTTATTTCAAGAGAATAATACCAATAGAAAAAGTAAGAACATAAGCATATTTGTGAGAGGAAATAAAGGTAAAAATACACAGGGTCATGCCTTACCCTCACTTTCCCCTGCCCCCATACTCGTGAATACCTGACTTTAACAATTCCTTCGAAAACTCTTAGCGTAATTTCCTTGGTGTATATGTGACTTTTGGTGTATGTGGCCTGGAGTGTTGAACTCTCTTGGTCTAGCACAGAGCATTTTCTGGCCACACATGATTCTGACCTATTAGTTTATGGATTATGAATTTTAAAATTCTGATCAAGAGACTTCTAGTTAAGAAAACTGTTACTGTCAACTGAATGTAAATTGCAGAAGAAAGCATTTGCTTTGAATTTCTTCATAGTTTGGAAAAATACATTTTACCACTGTGGTAGCACGATTGGGAAGAACAGTTTTTACCTTGGCTTGAATTTCCATTTTCAGAATTGATCCAACGATGGTCAGTATGTCACTGATGATAATCATAATATACCATCCGTTGATGAACTCCATTTGATCAGAGGTGGAAACTTCCTTCTTATAGTGGAGAAGGAAGAAACTGACAAACTCCTTTGGGGAAGAGGAGAGACAGTGTGAGCTTCCCTGCGGCTGAGCATGTGGGCAGCATCTCGGGGAGCAGCGCCCTACCTGCTGCAGCTGAATGCCTCTAATCACAGAGCGGGCGCAGAGCACCAGCGAGGACAAGCAGGTCAGGATGACGAAGGCGTCAAAGATCATCATATAGTGGGTGTTCTTCTGAACTGGAAGACACAGAGCCATGAGTGAGGCATCAATATGATGATGTTGGCTTCTTTTTACAGTAATTTACATAATCCAAGCATTTCAGAATCACAACCAGAAAAAGAACTTGGGAGCATTCTTCCCGTTGGTATTTAAAGAGAGCTGAGGGTCCTGGTTATCCTTTGCTTTACATCTAGTATCCACTTAATGAGTGAGTACATACCATGTTTGTTCTTCTGAGTCTGGGCTACCTCACTCAGGATGATATTTTCTAGTTCCATCAATTTGCCTGCAAATTTCATGATGTCATTGCTTTTTACAACTAAGTAATACTCCATTGTGTATATGTACCACATTTTCTTAATCCATTCCTCAGTTGAGGGGCATCTGGTTGTTTCCAGGTTCTGGCTATTACAAATAATGGTGCTATGAATATAATTGAGTAAGTGTCCTTGTGGCATGATTGAACATCCCCTGGGTATGAGGGAGGGCAATAATGGGGATGAGGGGGGCAATGGAAGGGAGGGGATAGGAATGAGAACATGAGGAAACAGGATGGTTGAGCTGGGGGAGGGATGATGGGAGAGCCATGAAATAGATATCTTGATATAGGGAGACATTATGGGGTAAGGGAGAAACTTGGTGCTAGGAAAATTCCCAGGAATCCATAAGGATGACCCCAGATTAGATTACTAGCAATAGTGCTGAGGGTGCCTGAACTGGCCTACCCTGGTAATCAGATTGATGAATATTCTGTCATCACAAAGCCTTCATCCAGTAACTGATGGAAGCAGATGCAGAGATCCATAACCAAGCACCAGGCCGAGCTCCAGGAGTTCAGTCAAAGAGAGGGAAAAGGGATTCTATGAGCAAGGGGGTTCAAGATCATGATGGGGAAATCTACAGAGACAACTGAACCAAACTCATAGGAACTTGTGAACTTTAGACCGACAGTTGTGGAACCTGCATGTGACCGGATGAGACCCTCTGCATATGGGACACAATTATGTAGCTGAGTCTGTTTGAGAGGCCCCTGGCAGTGTGATCAGGATCTATCCCAGGTGCTTAAGCTGGCTTTCTGGATTCCCATTACCTATGTTGGGATGCCTTGCTCACCCTTGAGGCATGGGAGAGGGGCTGGGTCCTGCCTCAACTGAATGTACCAGGCTTTGCTGTCCCCCTCCATGGGAGAACTTACCCTTTTGGAGGAGGAGATGAGGGGTGAGTGCGGGGGGGGGGGGGGGGGGGGGGGGGGGGAGCAGAAGGAGGGATGAGAGGGGGAATCTGTGGTTAAAAGAAAATTTTTTAAATAAAAAAAGCAAAAAAACAATTGTATAGAAATAGTTGAGTAGTTGAGTTACAGTTGCAGTTTCAGAAAAATAAACTATGCTTTCTTTTTGTCTGAAGGGGGAAAAAAAGAAAAGAAAAAGCACTCCAAATCAAAGATCTTTAATTATTGGTTTGTGGTCTTTGTGCTGAATAGGTTCTCCTTGCTGGGTGTGATGGTGCCTGCCTATAATCCCAGCACTTGGGTGCTGTGGGATGGTCTGTATGTCAAATGTGTTGCTGATTAGTCAATAAATAAAACACTGATTGGTCAGTGGCCAGGCAGGAAGTATAGGCGGGACAAGGAGGAGAAAAAACTGGGAAGTGGAAGGCTGAGTCAGAGAGACACTGCCAGCCACCACCATGACCAGCCACATGTGAAGATGCCGGTAAGCCACGAGCCATGTGGCAAGGTATAGATTAATAGAAATGGATTAATTTAAGCTGTAAGAACAGTTAGCAAGAAGCCTGCCACGGCCATACAGTTTGTAACCAATATAAGTCTCTGTGTTTACTTGGTCGGATCTGAGTGGCTGTGGGACTGGCAGGTGACAGAGATTTATCCTGACTGTGGGCCAGGCAGGAAAACTCTAGCAACACTTGGGAGCAAGAAGCAGAATGGATTACCAGGAGGTCTAGGCTAGCTTGGATTATATACTAAGTTTGAGGTCAACCTGGGCTACATATAGTGAAAATCTTTCAAGAAAAAAGTCAATCTATCAATAAGCCTTCCTAAATTGCTCGATAATGTACTTGGCTGGGTGTAAGATGTGCATTGAGCACCCCTATGTAGCTGGCACTTTTCTAGGTACTAGAACACAGTGGTAAACAAGACAGACAAGGCCCTGACCTAATGCGAGCATCTACGACGGAGAGCCGAGCCAGGGAATAAGCAGGCACACCAACAATACATAGAGTGGAGTGATACAAGAGAAGTTAAGTCACAACCACATCCTCGCCCGACTCGGTTCCAGGAGCTCTGTGTGTGTAGCATCCTCACAACAGCCCCAGTGAGGCTGTCAGGGTTTCCTCCACTTGGCATGTGAGAAAACTGAAACACATGGAGGTCACATGATTAGCCTAGGGTACACAGTGTGACCAAGTTGTCATTCAATCCTTCACAGCCTGCTTCTGGCGCCTACCACTCTGCATCAGGTTTTTGGTTTTTAGCTTTTTTTCTTTTTTAAGCATCACTAGGGGACATCCTCAGCCCTTGCCATAAACCACTGAACCAGAAGTGCTGTGTCACTAAGCCTTCCAGACAAGACTAATGTTTCAGAGCCATCCCTCCATGCTGCAGAAGGCAGCCAAGAAAGAGGCCTCACCAAAGCTTTAACTGAGCCTTGGGTGACAAGAAATGACCAGCTTCTGCAAGGCGTGGTGGCACAAACCTAAGGTTCTAGAACTTAGAGGCCAAGGCAGGAAGATTGTGAGTTTGAGGGCAGCCTGGGCTATGTAGAGAGACCCTGTTTACACAATGGAAGAGGAAGAGGAGGGGGGGGAGGAGGAAAAGAGGAGAAGGAGAAAAGGAGAAGAAAAAAGGAAGGGAAGAAGAGAGAAAATGGAGGGGAGGAGAAGGGAGAAGAGGAGAGGGGGAGGATAGCCTTTGTTCGGCCGTATGGAGATGCTGGAGAATCAAAAGTGCAAAGCCATGGCCCACATGATAGTGCCATTGAAGAGGGCCGAGGCGGCAGCCACGGTACCCACGGAGCCTTTCTCTACCAGTCAGGCTGCTGTCAGCTGACAATGATGAAACAGTTTCAGAGAAAGCTGTAGTAAAGCAAACCACTGATGGTTGCCAAGCGGCTTCTCATGGCTTCCCAAATGTCTAACTCTGAATTAGAAAGACTTAAAAACCAAGAAACAGACATTTGAGAGGCGGCCTCTGTGCCGGGCACTTAGTAGGCTCCCATTTTCCCTATGTGGGATGCTGCTCACCGATGGCAAAACAGGCTTGCACTCCACATAGACAAATAAGAAGCGATGAAGCTTGTGATTTGAGAGCCTCCCACACTCGAAGCTGCCTCTTGGTACCAATAACAGCAGCAGGAACGCTTCGCTCCACACACTCATCGTGATCACCTCGGGGCTCGACAGACCAGTCAGAAACAAACCCCGCAACACTGATTGCCTCCCCTCCTGTGGGTCTGATGAATAACACTTACACATCTACCAACTGAGGAACGTGTCTTAGCAGCTGTCCAAGACATTTCCTCCCTCAGTAGACTCCCAAAAGTCTCATGTAATCATTCAGTGCAGTGCAGCCTTCCATCCGGGCTACTTAAGAGGGCCTAGAAATGACTTGGAAATCCTTTCCTGGCAGAATTTTCCAGTTCCTGACAGGACTCATTCTGACCTGAGTTTTTGTTCATGTTTCTAGGACAGACATTTTCATATTTTACTTCACTTTGTAAACCAGATAGAAGACAACTATGATGTGTCTTAGCCTCAAGATCAAACCCCACCTGACTTCTCCCTCGCTGTAAGACCACGGCTCACTACACATCACTTCTGGACCTTGGCTTCCTCATCTGTGAACATAAGGGTTCTGCTGCTCATTGAGTTATTTAAAAATATTAGCATGAGGACAATAGGTGTGCGTAGGCTTTTCGTGCAGAACTGTGTGTAGTTCGTAAGGAGGAGGCAGGTGAGGACTTGTGGGAAAGTGTGTTCTGTCTGAAACATCAGACATCTATGACACACTGACCTGCTTACGAAAGATCAAGAGACTTGGAACTAGCTGGGTCTTTTGCTTAGTGGTCCTTGGGTCTTTCAGGCAGTAATTTAACGTTTAATTATTTAATTGCCATCCTGCAAATGGGTGGAGCTTATTACTTACTTGATCCAGATACATGCCAGTCTTTGCATTCTCTGATAGAAATGTCATTATCTAAACTTATTTTGATTCTTCCACTGTGAGCCTTGTTGTCAAATGTTATCTGTAAAGACAAGAAAAAGGGTCCAATGTGCACAACTAAGTTTTGGAGTCAAGCTAGCTCTCTGAATTCATCAGGAAGTAGTTCATTGAAGGACACAGGAAATGCTGGCCCTCATCTCTGATCAGATGATAACTGTTAATCCCTGTAGTATCACTTTATTTCTCAATGAGTTGATAATATTGAATTAGATCTGCTATAGAGAGATTTCAGTGTCTAAAACCCCATTTTTTTCTAGGATGCATTCCAGCCCTGGACACCCCAGCAAACAAGAGTGCCTTCCCCTCCTTCCTGTTCTAGATACTTGATTTGGCAGGAGTTCGGACAGGTTAGCTCTGCCCCCCCTTCCAGCAGGATCTTAACTCTGGATGGCTTTTTGGTGTTTGGGAAATTATGCTAACACAGAAGCGCATCATTTCTGTCTTTAGACACTGCGGATGGAGAGGTTTTTTTATTTCACTCTGGACCTAGATTTCTCCATCACCATGGTATCACATGTATTACAAAGGGCTCGGGGACAGTGCGGCTAGCAGGTCTCGCTTCTGCGATAACCAGGTGAAAAGGCTGGATGCAAGGGGCACAGAGCTTCGGCACAATGCCTTCTGCAGTCCCCCGGGTCTCCTTCTAATCTCCTTGCTTCCTCCATGCAGAGGAAAGGAAGGAAAAGTAAGAAAATCACCTACATCTTCTTCCCTTTCCCACCAAAGGATGGGAAGCATCCAGTTAAAAGTCCTTCATGTATTGCCCAGTCCTAAATAACTGTCTCTCACCTCACTCCACCCCCACGCTCAGGGAACATCACAGAAGAGGGGGCAGAAAGACTGTGAGAGCCAAAAGATGGGGAGGACGGCTGTGGCATGGTCTTACGGACGTATCATGCCATTGCACTCGGGAGCACACAGCAGCTGTGGTCACCTGCACAAGACTAAGACACTCCCCTTACAGCAGAGATGGGGGAGAGACCCCAGAGACTCCACCCCGAGCTGAGGAGCTCTGCTGATGGCTACTGGAAGAGGAAGAGTCATTATGTTTGGGTGTGTGGCTTCTGACAAGCTGTCCGTACTCTGGGGAATGACCTCATACCCACACATACCCAGGCAACACTAACTGGCCTAAGTGGGAGGGGTGTAGAGCAGGCTCTGGAAGAGGGGGACAGTGCTGGTGAATATGATCAAAACACATTGTATTCTCTACGAAACTCTCAAAGAACTTTTAAAATGCTCAGAAGGCTCTGCCATTTAAATGAATTTCATTGAAGTTTCTCCACATAGGGAAGTCAGACAAGGCCCAAGTGACTAAAACATCGCACAATGGCATAGTTGCAAAACCTTCTACTATAGCAAAAATTAAATCCCATTTACAATAGTTTGGAAAGAATTGCTCATACATCTCTGAAGTTGCTTGCATCAGAAGACCAGAACATACATTGCTAAGATGTGAGATATTGAGTAACTTCAAAGAGTCTAGTCACCTTGTGTCTCCTCCAGACAGAGGGTCAGCTTCTTTCCCTACACCACCGAGGCCACTGCTGTTGGCTGCCCTCCCCACAGCGGCTGAAGAACACAAGGAGATGTCAGTGCCATTTGATGGGATGAAAAGTCCTTGCCAATGAGAAAGTATTCTTTTTCCACAAGAAGAGACTCGAGGACTGCTAGAGACTCAGTAGATAACTTGAGTTACATCTCAGTAAGCCTCATTAGATGCTGAATCTCCCCAAGAAGAAAGGATGCTGGGTAGGATTTTAAAAGAGTATCACAGAAAATAAAGGTTGTAATATTTGAAGATGTAAGCACTTACTACGGAAGTGTGAGGGCTGGTGTTCAGATGCCCAGAACCTATGTGCAAGCCAGGCAGACACGGCGGCTGCCTCTAACACTTGAGAAACTAAGACAAGGGATCTTCTAGGCAAGTGGGTTAGCCAGATTAGCCAGAACTGGTGAACTCTGGGTTCAGTGACAGAATCCATTGACCTGCCTCAATAGGTGAAGGATCAAGTAATCAAAGAAACCCCCTAATGTTAACTGTGGGACTTTACACACATGTACACACACAAATATATGCACCCACATATGCATGTTCCCACACACATGTGTGAACACACATACAAGTGCACATATACTACATACACGCACACATACACCGTGTGCCACACACATGTGAACACATACACATACCACACACACACAAAAGAATCAGATGTTCACATGCCTAATAAAGAACCTCAAACAGCATCATGTGAGACTTCTGAACACAGATGAACTATTTTTTCTGTTATAAATCTGACTTAGCACATGCAGGCAAAAGTTAAAGACTATTTCAATGAATTTGAGGCTTAGATATCAAAATCGAGCCATTGGAAAGGACCCAGATTTCACAAGCATTTTTAATTCATTCAACAAATATTAGCCTCACCTACTGTGTGTTGTTTGAAGGGAAAGATATTAATAAAATGACTATAAGCTTCAAGGAGCTTCCAGTATAACAGAGACGATGTCAAACACCTAGAAACTTCTAGAATAAAGAGTAAGGTGTCAACCACATAAAATATAAAAAGGTGAGAAGAGGAAAAGGCCATGAAAGCTGGACAAGAGAACACAATAAATCAGCGCACTTCCTGGGAGATTATAGACTGTGTTTACAACTGAAGAATCACAAAAAGTCAACCAAGAAGGTGTCAAGACTGCAAGAACTGTGAAAACATCATTTCTCAAACTCAAGATAGAGAAGACTTGATGATATCTCAAAATCTTTAAAATCAGGTAACACTGCTGGTTAATACCAGGATCAACATGTATAGTATGGTTCAAAATTCTCTTCAAGTTTGGATGCTTTTTCATGTTAAACTTCTCCATATATTATTATATTATATGATGGAATGTTACTTCACCTCTACTCCTGAAAACTCCATTTTTCACAACCAGTTAATCAAACTTCGTGAATATAAGCTACTGCAAAGGCTGTACAAATGAGGCAATATAGGTTCAAGCAGAACAAAGGTTTCAAATTCTGACCTAGGTGTGGCCATACAGAATGTGTTATCGATGTATCTTCTTTTTAACAAATCACACTTATCCACATATATCACATATATATGGATATATGGGTATATGTGTAGTATGTTCTTGTGTGTTGGAGCACACAGTGCACATGTAGAGGTCAGAAGACAACTTGCAGGCTAGTTATCTCTTTCCACCATGTGGATTTGGAGGACTGAACCCAGGTCATCAGCTTGGCCACAGCATCCTTCCCTGTTGAACATCTTAGCACTCACATTTGTCTTTTGAAATAATAAACCCTCTTGAGAGCATCCGTGCTAAGGGAACTAAGCAGCGCCATCTGCAACTGGAACAAATACAATACAGGAAGCGGGTGGAAGAAGAGAGACAGAACAGAGCACTCGGCCACACAGCGAAGTTATGAGCAGTAACCCCAGGCTGCAAACATCCACAGTGAGCAAGTTCAACAAAGACCCCTTGGCAACAGTGGAAAGCAGTCTCTCTCTCTCTCTCTCTCTCTCTCTCTCTCTCTCTCTCTCTCTCTCTCTCTCTCTCTCTCTCTCTCTCTCACACACACACACACACACACACACACACTCCTGATCCTTCAGTATTTTGTCATCTGCTGTACACCAGGCCCCACACTGGAGACAGCAGCAGACAAGGTAAGTCCCTTCCTTACAGAACATGCACTGAGGGGCAGCAGACAAGCAGCAAGTAAGCAGTGTGCAGAGCAGAGCTAGCTGGAGCAATGTCCCAGGCACATTCAGGGTGGAACGTCCTTTCTGACCATGCCTTCCTTAGCACCAGTATGTGAACCTGAGCCACACACCGAGATAAAACAACCTTTTTCTAGACAGAAGCCACATTCAGCACAGCCCACACTTACAGTCAGAGTAAAGTCATAACAGTCAGGAAGTTCCTGGTGGCGAACTGTCTGCAGATTGATGGCTTTCAGCTTAAACTGAAGTTCCACCGTCAGGAGTCTGGAAAGCAGAGGACACTTGAGATGAGGGGACACACACAGGCTGGGCTGTGCACCCCTCCAGAGGACACTTGAGATGAGGGGACACACACAGGCCGGGCTGTGCATGGCTCTGCTTTCCTCACCTGTAGAAGTCCAGGGTCAGGTTAAGTTTATTTTCTCCAAGTGTTCTGATGTCAAAAGGTTCATCTGGCTCTATAAGGAAACATTCTGCCACAGAAAGGAACAAAAGCATAAATAAAATTCATTTTCAAAGGATAATCAGTAAGAGCAATTATTCATGTTATTACTTTTTACATCAAGACTGTACAGTTCAGTATCAATGCCACTTGTTCTGGCATCCTGTTTTTAAGACGTAAGACATTTCTGGAGTGGTCGAATATTCAGACAGACTCAAACTCTGTCTCAGAATGTCATCATTCTCCCTGTTTCTATTTCCTCTCTGCTTTATCTGTTTGTTTTTCTGTGGAATTCATGAGTTGTATAACAAAGGTTCACAATAGAAGCTGACACATAGCCGGGCGGTGGTGGCGCACGCCTTTAATCCCAGCACTTGGGAGGCAGAGCCAGGCGGATCTCTGTGAGTTCGGGGCCAGACTAGGCTACAGAGTGAGTTTCAGGAAAGGCGCAAAGCTACATAGAGAAACCCAGTCTCGGGAAAAAAAAAAAAAGAAGAAGCAGCTGACACATAAGAACCATAGAGTTCTTCCTGTGCCGTGAGAGCACTGACTATCACTGTTTTCAGAGACGTAGTTATCACGGGGCTTAGAACAAATCAGGGAGTTAAAAAACACAGTTCAAGGTTATAGGAGATCATCACCTGTTTCAATTTCTGGATCAATGTCAAAGGTATCATTCCCGGGGCAGATGGTTCCTCGCTTGTAGAAGTGTTGACAGATGGCCATAGCCGACTGCTGCGTCCCCTTGTTCTCATAAGCATGGTTGCCAACAGAGATGTTGCGAAGCTGCAAGTACTTTGTCCAAAAAAGAGAGACGGAAATGGAACACCAACCAGGACAAAGGGGTGCCATGTCTTGAAAGGGTAGGTTCCCGCCTGCCCTCAGTGTGCAGACATTCAGGAAACACACAGTGGGATGCTGCATCTGAGCAAGTGACTCTGAGGAAGAGCAGCAGAGATCAAAGGGACAGCTGAGTCCCAGAAAAGCCCCATGGAGACCTTGACTACTCAGATGCTTCGTACAATCTACCCAGGAATTCTCCAAGCCAACAGCCTTCTGACCACGGGCTCTCCCTACACTCCTGACCCAGAATCTTCTTTCTCACTTAGATGAGCATCCCAGGTCATTCTCTGACAGGTAAAGTAAAATCAAAGCCAAGCAGTGCACTACAGAAGTAAAGCAATTCTACATGGCTCACTTGTTGAACCCATTAACAAACATTTTTGTGTCTCTCTGATACTTCCTTCTTCGTGGAGTAATTTCATCAAATGCTATGCTGTTGAGCACGGATGAAGGTTTAGGTATGTGTGGACATGGACAGAGCATGTGTCTCCCTGTTGCATGAGCAGTATAATAAGAGTTGTGATTTCTGGTGGATTATTTAAAAGCAATGCAGAGTGGTCCACTGAGTGGGGGAATAAGAGAAAACAGCTGGATGCAGGAATTAACATGCTGTGTTTGAGCTGTTAGACCAAGCAGTTCCAACATAACAGGGCTGGAGGGACTATGAGGACCTTTTGCCCCTCTGTATCCCTTCCAGCGAGAGCTGAGCATGTGGACATCTTGATCTTAGCCTTTCATGCCTCTAGAACTGTGAAAGAGAAACTGCTTTCACTTATTATCCTGACAGACACTTTCCTATAGCAGCAGAAAAAAACGTGACAGCTAAGCTAAGGACTCTCCATGGAACGAACATGGAGATCTACCAAGCTGTGTGGCTTCAGTGCCCGACACAGGGTTTTGAAGACAGAGTTTAGTCCTGGTGATAAAGGTAAAGAAATTTTATAAAACATCTCCAAGCCTTTAGCCAGGCATAGTGATTGCTTTTCAGAGGTGGAGGCAGGAGGACCAAAAGGTCGATGCCAGCCTCTGCTACAAAGTTTTAAGTCACCTTGGGTTACAAAAGGCCCTGCTTCAAAACAACAAAATGTAATGGGCTATTTACTTCTTGTCTCTACATAACACCTAAGAAACATATACATTTGGTACAGTGCTTTGCAGATACTTAATATATTTAAAAGAGAAATCTAGGGCTGAGAGATGGCTCAGTGTGCAAAGCACTTACCACCTCATCTTGAGTTCAAATCTCCAAGACCCAAGGGAAACCAGATGCAATAGCATGCATTTGTGATCCCAATTTTCCTTTGGTGAAGTGAGGAACAGAGACAAGGAAATCCCCCAAGAAGCTTGCAAGCCAGCTAGCTTAGTATTTGCAACAACGAACAAGACTCTGATCTCAAACAAGATAGATGTTGAGGACTACAGCCAAAGCTGTCCTCTGACATTCACACAAATGCCACATCATGTCCTGCACATATCACACACACACACACACACACACACACACACACACACACACACACACACACAGACTTTAAAAAATTAAAAAATCTCTAAACTTAACTTCACCGCTAAGCTATTTGCTATTTTCCCTCCAGAAATTGTAGGGCATGATTCTGTTTAACAACTTCATGTAGCTTTTGTCTCTAAGTTTCCTATTCCCACTGCTAACCAAGAGCCTGGGCTCTGTAAAGATGAATCTCACCCCAGCAGCTCGTGATCTCTGTTTGAACAGGTTGTCCCTAGAAAATGAAGAGGAACAATGCTTGAAGAAGGGATTTAATGGTTTTGAAATGTGATCTGTAACTACCCAGCACTTGGGAGACAGAGACAGGCAGATCTCAGGGCCAGCCAGGTCTATAAAGCAAGTTCCAGGACAGCTAAGGCTGTTATACAGAGAACCCCTGTCTCAAAAAACAAACAAACAAAAAATATACTGACCTCAAACACTTTTTTAATTAACCCTTCAAAAGAAGTGACTTTGAACCTTGAGAAAGTACTAATTATAGCAAGAATAATCCAGAATGAAAATTTGACTCTGGAGGATGAAAAACAAGTTTCCTTTCTGTCCGGCAGTTAGCATCACGGGGCAATCACCAGGCATGACATGAAAGCCTCACTTGTACATGAGTTTGAAGGCCTTGCTTGTTACACAAACTTCCAAATTAAAATCCTCCTTATTGGTTATAGGTCTCCAAAAGTATAAGCTTTGAAGACTTAATGACTACTTACATCCAGGGTTATGTTAGTAATTTCGAGTATTGAAGCTCTCGTGTCAAGTCCTATCCCTGATTCTTTTAATCAAGTCATTGAAATTCAACCTTCTGCTGGTTGAAAACAAAAGTTTTTATTTTACTTGTATAAAAGTTTGTTGGTAATATTTTTCAATCAATTTTTAAATAAGTATTTTACTTTTAGAGGGGTGTGTGTGTGTGTGTGTGTGTGTGTGTGTGTGTGTGTGTGTGTATGTGTGTGCCCTGTGTTGGAGGAGGGGGTACCTGCAGAGGCCAGAAAGACAATGGATTCCCTAAAGCTGGAGTCACAAGCAGTTGTGAGCTGCCTGATGTGGGTGCTGGGAAGCAAACGCCAGGTCCGCTGGAAGTGCAGCAAGTGCTCTTAACTGCTGAGCCATCTCTCCAGCCCTTAAACTACATTTGAATTGTTTATTCATAAGTCATCTCCAAGCAGAACTGTACACTGGAGTGTGGGGTTCTATATAATCTGTCCCTAGCATTTCTCCAGTCTGTTCTTTCTCCTAGATAAAGGATGTACACACTGTCCGGGTATCTCGTTATTAGAACACTAGCCTTGTTTGTGCAAGGCCCTGAGTTCAACCCCTAATACCTAAAACAAACAAACAAAATCCACAGTAAATGCACACAGTTGGTTTACCTGGCCCACTGCAAAGATGATTTGGTCGTACACATCGTTTTGAGTGTACACTGCGTATGTATCATCCATCCGGTCCATGTATCCTTTCAGGAAGAGGTGTTTGAAGGCTATGGTGTTCTCTTCCTTGAAAGCTACTACCATCTGGTTACTCAGTCCAAACAGGACCAGCTTTAAAAAAAAAAAGAAAGAGAAAGAAAGAAAGAAAGAAAGAAAGAAAGAAAGAAAGAAAGAAAGAAAGAAAGAAAGAAAGAGCATGAGGATGAAAAAGCTGAACAAAAAAGAGATGGAGGCATGTGGTTCAAGGGCTTGGCTGGCAAGAATTTACAAGGGGGTTGGCAGGATATCCAGAAGGCTCACGGCTTGTGGGCTGGGAGATGGCTGAGTTGATGAAAGCACTTTCCTTACTAGTTGAGGACCTGAGTTCAAATCCTCAGATTCAAAGAAAAGTCAGATGTGTGCCAGCAATCCAGCACTCCTGTAGGGACAAGGGAGGTGGAGATGGGAGAGTATCTGAGAGCTCACGGGCCAGGTAGCCTGGTGTGCACAGTGGAAAACAACAGAGCTGGATGGAGAACTGACACTCAGCTTTGTCCTCTGGTCTCCACATGCATGCCGAGGCAAGTACGCACTCACATTCACATGCTGAAATGTGCGTGCACATACACTGCATACACACACACACACACAATGCATATATATATATATTGCATATATATATATATATATACATATATATACACATAGAGAGAGAGAGACAGAGAGACAGAGACCCACATGGGGGAGGGGGAGGGGGAAGAGGGAGAGAAGGAATGTTCATACTTACTAGATAACAAACTAAGAAAGTCTAAGCCCTATGAACAGACTAAAGTCCTAGACCTCATTACCCAAGTTGTCCCAATAAGACCCAAAATCGAAACTGTATTCTCTAAATTAGAATACTAAAATAATATTTCATTAATATTCAGGCAGAATTTTCCATGAAATCCAACTGTTCAGGTTTGAAAAAAGTTGTTTCACTGTGCAGCCATCAATCAGACTTGCCTCACTCCACGTTTCTATTTTATCCCTCCCAAACCACTTCAGTATCCCTGCCTCCCTCCTTCCCTCTCTCCTTTATGCTCTCTCTCTCTCTCTCTCTCTCTCTCTCTCTCTCTCTCTCTCCCTCATTCTCAGTATCTCTCCTCTCTCTCTCATTCATCCCATTCCCCTCTCTCCACCCCTCCCTCAGATACTCTGATTCAGACCCAAGGATGAGGCAAGGTATACTTAGGAATAACACTGAGCATCTGTGTGTGAGCGCTATTGCAGAAACTCTCCCCACAGTTACCAGCTGCACAGCATGGTCTCTAATACAGCAGTTTTGCAGGTGAGCTTGTAAAAGTTCAGAGGAATTAAATAATTTTAAAGTCACATGACTAGGAAATTACATCCATGTCTGAAAGATTAAATCCAAGCTCCATTTATCCCATCATTCCAGGAAATGTATTCCTAGGATCTGGTGTGAAAGAATGCATTTGTCTCTCCCCCTTTGACATCTGACCTGCATCCACAGGCCTTCATCCTCTACCTAACTTGACTTTCATTTCTGAAAAGTTTCTTCACGCTAAATATGACAGCATGGTATTCTAGGAACATGAAATCTATCAACACTGGTCCAAGGATCTCCCAAGCATTCCCAAAGATACTCTTACAAATCCATTCAAACATTCAGGTGCATCCCAGAATTCACCACTGAGCTAGGTGCTGGACAGCAAGGACACATCCTGTCCTGGCCCTCAAAAGAACCTGAAATACAAGACTTCCCTAGGAGACCTAGGCCGGGGCTGGACCTTCAACTTCGATGCCAGGGAAGGACTCTGTAAAGAAGGAGCCGTCTCCTCCGAATCGTCTTAGCAGCCTACCCTCTGACCACTGACCTCTCAGGAGAACCCACAGACTGCACGGCTGTATTAACATCTCTGTAATCTGTAACACTGTTAGAGGCCAGGTGAAGGCGAGATGGTTCTCTGTCTCTGTCCCTCTCTGTCTCTCTGTCTCTCTTCCTCCTCTCCTTCTTTCCCTTCCTCCCTCCCTTCCTTCCCAGTTCTAGCCAAACCTTAAACAAATTCATTTCCTCCCCCTTTTCTGTAAAGTGCCAAGCAGTGAGCCTGGGTTCTGGAACACGATGACGGACAGAGGCTGCAGTGGTTGGGAGACCTGCTGCACTCCAGAGAGCGAGACAGATGATGAGAGAAATGGGACCTTGGGGCGGGGGCACTTAGAGGTACAGACATCTCCCTTGTGCTGCTGAAAAGCAACACCTCCCAGTTCTAGAGACATCCATCACCAAGTCACTTTTGTTTTCCCAATGGCGAAGTAGCCTGTATGCAGTGTGTTTGAGTGCTCAGATCCAGACAGAGAAGAGATCAGATCCAGACAGAGAAGAGATCACAGTTAAGAGTCAGAGAAGAGATCAGATCCAGACAGAGAAGAGATCAGATCCAGACAGAGAAGAGATCAGATCCAGACAGAGAAGAGATCAGATCCAGACAGAGAAGAGATCAGATCCAGACAGAGAAGAGATCAGATCCAGACTAAGAAGAGATCAGATCCAGACAGAGAAGAGATCAGATCCAGACAGAGAAGAGATCAGATCCAGACAGAGAAGAGATCAGATCCAGACAGAGAAGAGATCAGATCCAGACAGAGAAGAGATCAGATCCAGACAGAGAAGAGATCACAGTTAAGAGTCAGAGAAGAGATCAGATCCAGACCGAGAAGAGATCAGATCCAGACAGAGAAGAGATCAGATCCAGACAGAGAAGAGATCAGATCCAGACAGAGAAGAGATCAGATCCAGACAGAGAAGAGATCAGATCCAGACTGAGAAGAGATTACAGTTAAGAGTCAGAGCTATGGATCACTGGGTGTGGTGACTCACACCTTCAGTCTCAGCTCTTGGGAGGCAGAGGCAGGTGGATCTTCATGAGATCAAGGCCAGCCTGGAATGCAAAGAGAGTTCCAGGAGAGCCAGGGTCACACAGAGAAAAAGCAAGACACAGAGAGAGAGTCAGGTATGGGGGCTGGAGAGATGGCTCAGTGATTAAACATTTGCTGCTCCTGCAAAGGACTGGAGTTCCAGTCTGCACACAATGCCCACAATGCCCTATAATCCTAGTTCCAGGAGAACTGGCACCCTATTCTGGCTTCTAGGGGCACTGTCACACACATGGCAAACAGAGAGAGAGAGGGGGGGGGGGGGGGGGAGGGAGGGAGGGAGGGAGGGAGGGTGGGAGGGAGGGAGGGAGGGAGAGAGGGAGAGAGAGATGGGGAGAATGTCGGGAATGCAGCCAATGTTAGGTATGGAGGCTCCTGCCTGGATTCCAGCACTCAGGAGGCTAAGGTCACAGGATTGCACTGACTTTGAGGCCAGTCTAGCCTCCATAGTGAGTTCCAAACTAGCCTGAACAATACATTGAGATCCCATTTCAAAACAAACAAACAAACAAAAAACACACTTACCAAACACCTTTGTGTGTTTCTTACCAAAAGGCTTAAACCACTGACTAAGATTCCTCTTGGTCACACTAGTAACTATTAGGGATTCTCTAAAAAGATGAGGGAGTAATTATGAACGTAACTCTTGGAGTGTGCAAATCTAAGACTGTGCATCCTTGTTCTCTGCTATAGTCTCCTGTATCACACAGGGAACGCTGCACACTAAGCCTCACCACTGTCTGAGAGACAGACATGCACAGCTCAGGTCCAGTTTGTTTAAAGACTTGAGCGTGAGCACCATGTGTGTATGTATGTATGTATGTATATAAAGCTTGGCACACAGCCATCACCCAAATGTACCTATTATTATCTAAGTAAATAGCATTCCTATCCAACTGGTACAGGTTCCCCCATATAAATGACACAAATAAGCCTTTCAGTGCTGTGACATATTGCATTATCACCTGGAAATAAAATTTCAAGTGCAAATTGCCAAGTATTATACTGAGAACTGAGCGTGTTTCCATGGTGATACATTGAAGAGGAAGTGCATCTGCCTCTGGAGTCTCCATGCAGCCGCTTATGAACCATGAGGCCTCTTAAACACTGTAAACATCAGTACTTTTCTGTAAGGTGAGAGAGGCTGGGATTTCTCCAATTGGAGGATGGTTAGAATGGCATGAAACCATGCACTGGGACAGAGTGGTCACCCAAGTCTAGGGTTAGAAATCTAAATAAGAATTCCACCAACTTCGAATGATTCTAGAAACTGCCTTGGTTTACTAATCACAAGTGCTTGTTTTTAACAAGCAATTAAAATTAGCAATCTTAACATTTAAAAAAAACTCTCCTTCGATAACAGATGTTCACCAAGAACAGAAAATAAAAATACTAACCTAAACTTGGTCCTCATGTTTGTCCTTCTGCTTTTAACAAGAGATACTTCCCCTCACCAGCAGGAGAGCCCTTTTTCTGACATTTGTTTATTTTGTTTGTGTGTGCGCACATGTGTGGATGTCAGAGGATGATTGACAGGAGTCAGTTCTCACCTTCTACCACGTGGGTTCTAGGAATCAAATCCAGGTTGTCCATTTGGTGGTGAGCACCTTTACCAGGGAAGCCATCTTGCCAGCACCCAAGGTCCATTTTTATAATAAACCACAACAGTTTAGGCAACTATCACAAAACATGATTCCTCAAAAAAATTTAAAAGAAAAGCTATGGAAAATAGAATGAAATGTTCCCTTCTCACAAAAATGAAGGCACTGATTTTACAGGCTGATACAAGCTCCCATCTGCCGACTCCATATTCTTCCACTACACAGTTCTCATGATCCGGGCCTGTAAGAATCCAAGAGATTGCCTACAGCAAAAATCCATGCAGTTTCTAGAGAAAGGAACGCCCAGAATATTAGGAATAAATGAAAAACCTCATGTTGGGAGTCAGCTAGTACCTGTGGAAGATTTAGATCCCTCTCAAGAAATGTCTTCATTAGGATCCAAATGTTAAAAATGTTTACTCCTGAAAACTATTATGGCAGTAAAATTATAATATGAAAAATTAAAATAAGCTGGATGCCATGATGCATGCCTTGAATACCAGCGCTGGGAAGCCAGAGACAGGTGGATGTCCATGAGTTCAAGGCCAGTCTGGTCTCCATAGGGAGTTCCAGACCAGTTAGAGCTAAATAGTTAGAGCCTGTCTCAAAAATTTTTTAAAGAGAAACTCAACACACAGAGGTGGGGAGGGAGAGAGAGAGAGAAAAACAAAAAAATAAAAAGCCAAAGTCTTTCAGAAATGTTAAAAAGAGAAGGTTTTACAGTTGCTGTGGTGGTTTGAATAGGAATGGTCCCCATAGACTCATGTGTTTGAATGCTTGACCCACAGGGAGTGGCACTATTAGGAGGTGTGGCTTGTGGGAGGAAGTGTGTCACTCTGGGGTGGCCTTTGAGGTGGCCTCTGAGTGTGGTACACAGTCTCCTTCTGTTGCCTATGTATCAAGAAAGAGGACTCTCAGCTCCTCCTCCAGCACCATGTCTGCTTGAACGCCCCCATGTTTCCCATCAATGAAGATAATGGTCTGAAACTGTAAGTCAGCCCCAGTTAAATGTTTTTCTTTATAAGAGTTGCTGTGGTCATGGTGTCCCTTCACAGCAATAAAACCCTAACTTAGACAGTTGTGTTTTTTCTTATGTTTTTGATGCCTTTAGGCATGCAGGTAAAAGTTGTCTCATGAACAAGGCCCTCCTTCTCTGGTGTGCAAAGAGGTTTGTACCTAACTTGTGTTGGGAGATGCTTACCTGGACAGTCACCATTGCGATTTTCAGAATTTGTATGGCGAGTTTCCATGGCTTCCTACCCCGAGCCCAAAACTTCTCACAAGGATTCATGAAAAAGAATTTGAGTTTCCGCCTCATCTGGTCTTCTAAGAGAAGCTCTTCACTGGGGGACGAGCTCTGGTGAAAAGTGCAGTGACTTTCATCCTGGTGAGGGCTGCAGCTGCTTCCAGCCACCTCAGGGTTTGCCATCTCTAGTGAGGGAACCAAACATTTCCACTCAGTGGGGAAAGGCACAAACCCACGTCAAAGGATCCCTGTCAGTCAGACAGAACAGAAAGACGAAGTGGGGGCAGGGGAGGGGAAGCGGGGGACATGAAAAAGGAGTGGGGGGGGACTCCTCGCCAGCTGAGAATCAAATGTTCTAGAACAATTAACCTTTGCTTAAGGCCTTCCTCCCTTTCCAACAGTAAACCCGCAGTTTTCTAGAACTCTCACTAGGAAACCCCCTTAACGGGAAAAGGACATATTAAAAACCCCTTACATGACCCTGGTGGCTCTTGGGTTCTACTTTATTAGATTATAATTCCACCCCAGATATCTCTGGAGCCACCTGCCATGCTACTTAGCAAAAAATGAAACAGGAAGTTCCCCAGCAATGCTTTGAGGTGTGACTTGAAAGCCACCACGATGGTACATGAGGCTAACACTAGGGCGCTTGTGACCCTCTCTCGAGAAGGCCGCACCCATGCATGAGGATGCCTTACGCTTCCTTCTGGACCACCTCTCTTTCTCTCTTCACCCTCATGCTTAAAAAGTGTAGTAAAACGTCATTAATAAACTCCCACTCAGCCTGTTAACTAGTCCTGAAATTCTTTTCCGTATCAAAGCCGAGGATCCAGTTCTCCCCGAATGGAAGTACCTGAAAAATTAGGGGTACCCAAGCCTGCTGCAGATGGCAGTGGTGGAGTTGTGGTAGTATGTCCAAGAAAGCTCGCATGGCTGCCCCAGGGTCCATAGAGCTGTCCTGTACTTAGGTGAGGACTGATTATATCCCTGATCACTGATCTTAGGTGAACATTGATTATAACAGGATATCAGTCTCCAAATGGTTTCGACTACTTAAGTGAATTCTCACCTAGTTGAAAGTTAACAGCTCCAAGGTCTGCTCCTATTAGTAAAAGATTTCATGTTTGCATGTAAGGCTGTGTATGGTATGTGTGTGCTTTCTGGTTCAGTGGGTACCAGATACAGTTATTGCAAAGATCAGGGCCTGAGAGGCTGAGTAAGGACTTCGGAGAGTAAATGGACCCTGAAATGATATGCAGATTTTCATGTGGATATGGTCATTCATTTTCATCTATGGAGAAAAACAAAAACGTCCATACAACTATTAATCAATAAACAGGCTTTGTAAGAACCAAGAACCGGTTTAGATCTCGATCCTTCTAGGACTTGTGTCAACTCACTCAGCCCACATTGAGCCTTAGTCCTGCAAAATGATAATATCTATCCTCGGAAGATTGTAGCAGATATTAAATAAATGCAAATAGGGCCTTACCATGGAGTGTAAGCAGGCAGCCTCTCTTACACTCTGTCCTCACTAGTCAGGGAGGCTCTCTAACATCAGCGAGATTTCTAAGGACTGTGTGAGCCTCCCAAACTGAGCTCCACTACACAGGGGAAGGCAGCCCTCAACTGCAGCCCATTTCCCAAATGGCCCAGTGCTTGAACTTGTTTCCTCTTACCCAGGGTATTTTACCCTTTGAAGCATGTGCTTCATACTATTTCTTTTGCCTCTTTGAAAGGGGTGAAGAAACTTTTCAGACTGAGGAAGAAGTCTCTCCAGAGACTGCGAGTTACCTGGGATTTCCCCTCAGTGATACTACGGAAACCCATTCAAATAAAATACCCTACACTCACCAAGAGAGTAGAGTCTTTCCACACAGAACAGAAACCCATCTGAGTTTAATGTTTTCATAATAACTTGCACTTAATGACGAAGGGAGAAGAATTTAGCCTACATTTGTACATCTGATAAATTAGACCTACTGCTTTCCAAGTCTAGAATCACACGTTGGATATAGATTACAACATTCTCAGCAAACCCAACATTCCTGAAATGCAGATTTGGGCTATAAAAACCAGTCATGGGGGACATTCTAAACTCCTGATTAATGAAAAGTGATAAATAAGGCCACCGCTGAGTGAAGAGAATAATGCATAAAACATATTACTATGCAACAAATGCAGTCAGCTCCTTCCGAAGACAACCATAATGGCATGCATTAAGATGTGGTGTTGTCCCAGTGTCGCAAGTCACCTCAAAGCGTAAGCATATGTGATAATTCTTGGGTAAAGACATAAAGGAGAGAAAAAAAGCATGGCAAACAAATGACAAAACAGTGGGATGTTTTAGACAGCGTTTGTTTCTGCCATGCTGGGGATAGAGCCCCCAGCAATGTTCATGTGAGACAAGCACTCTAATTGCTCAGTCACATACCCAGTCCTTCACTCTACTCCTTTGAAGAAAGAGGTAAGATATTCTTGAGTGAAACTATAAGAACTGATGGCTTTTTTTCTCTCCTTTATGCCTGTGGGACTTTGAACTGGTTGGTTTTCGATAATTTGACACAATCCAGACATACCTTGGAAGAGGGAATCTTAATGGAGAAACCACCTCTGTAAGCCTGGCCTGTAGGCATGTTCTTAGGGCCGTTTCTTAATACTAAGGTGGGAGGCTCAGCCCCCTTGGGGAGGGGGTGGCCATCCCTGGGTAGATATCTGGTCCTAGGTGGTATAAGAAAACAAGCTGATGTCCCCATTACTCCTCTCTCAAGTGGCAGCATGGGGGCTAGGGGGAGCTGGCCCTGAGGTCAGAAGGGCAAGAGAGCTACCCCTGTCCCCCACCAGCTGCAACACTCGAGAAAGCAGGCCCTACACCCCACCTGGGCAGCACAATAGAGCCAATCCTGTTGGCAGAGGTGTGGGTGAGCCAGCCCTGTAGTTGTGAGCATGGGAGAGCTGTCCCCATTACTCATCTGTCATGTGGCAGCACGGGTGGAAAGGTGGGGGGGCAGGTGGGAGGGCTGGCCCTGAGGTCACAAGAGCAGGAGAGCTGTCCCTGCCCCTCATCAACAGCAGCACTCAGGAGAGTGGCCCCTGTGCCATGCCTGGGCAACACAGTAGAGCTGACCGTGAAAGTGTGGACATGGGAGATCCGACCCTGAGGATATGAAATCGGGAGATCTGGCCCCGCCCCTTGCTGCAAGGGGTGAACTCAGCAGAACAATGCAGGAGAGTGTGCCCTAGTGGTGAGTACAAGGGAGAGCTGGCAGGCTGACCAACCCTGCAGCTACCCAGACCCAGAACCAGGATTGTGTGTTGACCCACCCCAATATCCACCCCATCTGTGGTCTGCTGGTCCTGCAGGCCCAAAGCTGCAGGACCTCCACAGCCCAGGGCAACAGCAGGATAACCAAGAGGAGTCCCAGTGAGGGCCCAGCATCGATAGTGTAGCAGAAACCAGAGGCCTCGAACCAGACCTTTGTAATGGACACTTGCAAGAAAAATACATGGACAAAGGGTTTACTGAGTGACTCACTGTGTCACACCACGGCTTACAGGACGAGACTGATTTTTTTCCCCTCTCTTTTATTTCTCTAAAATTTTATTTTATTTTATTTGGAGGGGGAGGAGGGTTGCAAGGGCAGAGGGTGGATCTAAAGGGATGGAGAAATGAATGGGATGGAGATGCATGATGTGAAAGACACAAAGAATTGATTTTAAAAAGAAAAGAAGGAGAAAAAGAAAGAAAAGAAGCTGAGCAAGCAGAGCTTCCCCACGGCTTCTGCCCGCCCCAGCCCCTGCCTAGCCAAGCTCATCCCGTGCCTGACTTCCCACACTGATGAACTGTGATCTTACCAGAGAGTTCTACGCTGATATAAACCCTTTCCTCCCTGAGTTACTTTTGGTCATGGTGTTTTATCACAGCAGTAGAAACCCTAACTGGGACAGACTTCAAACAATTTCTGTTGATTACTACATATGAATAACTACAGTAATGAACGTGTTGGTAATAAAGTGTGTTTGTGAACTACTGATGTGAAGTCCCACCAAACCCCTTTGCATTATGATACAGAGAAAATTAAACTTTAAACACACTAGCCATACACCATGTAACAGTAACCTACAGGAACAAAGAGAAAACAGCCAACCACCATTAATTTATTCAAAACGCTGCTCAGGTTGTTCCAGAAACCCAGCTTTCATTCCGGGCTGACTGCTAAGCTTACAAGCCATGGGGAGCCACGCTGGCTGAGCAGGTATTGATAGCTGCTTTTTTTCAGGTGTCAAGGCCTGCACAGGGTCCCCGCAGGGGTCTACCTCGGATGTCAGGGTGCTGGCCCTAGATGACTCACACACTTAATTAGACAGCAGCCAGAGGCTACATTGGGTTGAGCTGCAGAAATGTATCGACAGAGAGGAAATGTGTGATTTGGAGAAAGCACCACAAAACGGCCACCGCCTGCTTCTTCAGCATCTCCGCTTCTCACCAGACCCCTGCCTTCTTTCCGCCCTCCCTCTCTGGTTCTACAATTTGACAAGTCTGACTTCAGGCAACTCAATAGGTCCAGACCGAGCCCTAGTTTTTGCTCCTGCAAAATGAGAACAGTTCTACTCTCTCTTCTTCCATGCCATGGGACTACCCCTGTGGTGCTGGTTCTGAGGAGAAAGCCAAGGCTGGCCTGCTGTCATCAGGACACCACACCCTGGGATCTCCGGCTTCGACAACCTGCTGGAGTCCGACCAGCGCAGAGCCCCTACTGTTGCTCCCACTTCTACCCCTGGCCACAGCCTTTACGAAGGGAGAGCCCAAGTTAAGAGCAGACACGAAGCCACTCCAAGAATGGTCTCTGAGACCCTGGTGGGAGTCCAGTTGGCCTCCCGGGGCACAGGCCTCCCAGAGAGAACCCACTCTGGGCTGGGGTGGCATCCTGCACTGGATTCTCGCAGCTTGCTTCCCGGGAAACACAGCTATGCACAGGCAGGACTCTGCTGTCACCTCCAGACCTTGCCGAGGTGACACAGAGAGGGTGTTTCCACCCCAGGCGTGAGCCCCACTGACCTGTGGTCCATGGCGGAGCCCCGGTTGTGCCAAACCGGTGCATCTCGCACTCCGCTCCCCTCTGTGCGCCCTCCATGGCTGGCGCAGGTGTCCTGGCCCCTACCCTCCCGCTTTGTGTCACCTGCTGCTGGAGACATCGGGCTCCCTCCCCGAGCGCCCGCAAGCGAGGTTCACACGACACCTGATGCCGGGGCAGCGCCGGGCTAGGCTCACCTGCGGCCCAAGACGCGCCGAGGGCGCACCCGAGGGAACAGCGGGGACCCACGGGGAGGAGTCAGGTCCTGCTAGCCGCCGAGGGATGCGACACATCAGCGCAGGGTCACTCTGGGCTCCGAGCCCGACAGGCTCCAGCCATCCTCCCTCCTCTGGCCCCAGCCTCGTGACCCTCCTCCCCCCAAGGCTCGAGTTCCCTGCCACGCCCTTTGTGGGACGGCCTTTCTCTGAGACAGGTGGGGAGGGAGGCCGTCTGAAGGAGTGTGGCTGTGGCGCTGTCCTCTCTCTCCCACACCTCCAGCAGCCTGTTCCCTGCGCTCCCACCAAACATCCCCACTGGCTTTCTCTGTGAGCTGGAAAGGGACTGGTGAGGTGGATCACTAGGGGACCATTCCAATAGGTGGCATGGAGCTATCAAGGCGGGGTGGGATGCACACTGAGACTCGCCTGCAGTCACGTTCACCTGGCTCCCGGGCCTTCCTTTGCAGTGTGAACTCATTTAACATTGGTTCTACCGCTTATCAAGAACAGCAGGAACTTTGGCTAATTTTAATTACAATCACTTGAGATTTGTTTTAATTTATAGCTTCATTTTTATTATCTTGGGGGCATGAATCCTTACCTGGCAAGGGAGATACCATGATCACGAAGGTGGCTTTCCCAGGGCGAGGTTTCTCCATTGCACTCCGGATGTGCTGACCCCTGCGATTTCCCCAAATGTGGGGAACTCATCTGCACAAATTGTGGTAGTGGGGGCTGCGTGCATGCTTTTCCTTGAAAAAATAAATACTTTTTAAGTTGTAAAATAAGTAAATCTTCCTAACAGGGTATCCCACAAACTATGTCCAGAGCAGACAGACCATTTTGGAAACTCCTAGATCAGTTCACACAATTTATAAATGGAATTATCCTTTCTTGTGTCTTTTTGTGTGAGGAAGTGTTTTTAGTTTTGTTTTTCAATGGAGTGCAAAAAGTTTCTGCTGTTCATTAACCCAAATCCCAAGTGGGATAGCCAAGCTAGATGCTCAGAGGATATAACTGGCACACTCTATTCTCAAGTGCAATTTGGAAGTATAATTTATTCTCTAATGCCCATATGTCTCCATACAGTTTAATGCTGACTTTCCTTTCTGTAGCTGAAGGTATCATTGTAGCAAGAATTTGGAATGCATAATTGTTCAGAAACAACCTGAATTTTGGAGAGGTTTGCAGAAATGAGTGATGGCCCTCCCTCGGCCCTGGTGAAGCTGAGTTATGTCTAGTAGTGAATGAAAAAAGTTCGACTTTACAGTCAGTTCAAGGAGGCCCAAGTTCCCTTTTATGTGACTCATGGACTTCTTTGTAAGAAGTCGTTTACTCTCTCTTCCTCTCCACTCCCATTCATGTCTAATCTCTCTAATGAAAGGAATAGTGAATATTAACATGACACATGTAGCCGGGCGGTGGTGGCGCACGCCTTTAATCCCAGCACTTGGGAGGCAGAGCCAGGCGGATCTCTGTGAGTTCGAGGCCAGCCTGGGCTACCAAGTGAGTTCCAGGAAAGGCGCAAAGCTACACAGAGAAACCCTGTCTCGAAAAACCAAAAAAAAAAAAAAAAAAAAAAAAAAACATGACACATGTAAAGCACTCGTATTTTATGTGCTTACAGGTGTCCATTCTTGTCTTTGGGACAATCAAAGTTAATGGAAAAAATCAACCGTGTTCATGAATTGCAAAGACTCAATATTGTTAAAGATATCAGTTTCTACTCAGTTCATTTATAGGTTGGATCCAATCATAACAGGAATTCCAACAAGCTGTGTTTAGAACTTGACACACTGATTCCAAAGCTCATACGGCAATGCAAGGAACCCAGAGAAAGAGTAACAGAACACTCTGTGAGAACAAAATTAGAGAATCTATCAAACCCGATACCAGGACTCCTAAAGCTGGCTGAGTGGAACAGTTGTGTGGTACACAAAAAGAATACATCTAAACACTGGAACAGGGTCTAGAAATAGATTCTTATGTATGCGTCTGACCTGTTGATTTTTAACAAAACTATCAAGATACTATAAAGGGGAAAACTAACCTCAGTCATCAGCATAGTGATGTTATTGGCTCAAGAGAACCCACTTATGGGACTGAAGAGATGGCTCAGGGGATAAGAGAGTTTATTGATCTTGCAGAGGGCCTGGATTCCGTTCTCGGCACCCACATGGCAGCTCCCAAACAACTCCAGCTCCAGCACCAGAGAATCTGACGCCCCCTACTGACCCTACAGGTGCCTGCACACATGCAATTCACGTGAACTCATGCAGGCACACACACACACACACACACACCACGAATGAAAACAAATCTTTAAAAATAATCAGTATACACTGGCATGAAGCCAAAAGAATGGCAGCATTGGCACCAGAGTCAAACACCTGAGTAGACATTTCTGGAAAACAGGGCAGAAGTAGGAAAGAAAAGCAGTTAAGACTCCGTCAGTCAGTCTTGCTTTAACTTTACCATGTTATAGGTACGTGTTCCTGTGTTCCTGAGCCTGCCAGTGTACCATTCTCAAATAAAATAAATGTGAGTGCATTTATACACACAAAACATATCATACTAATCCTGTGAATGGCTATTCCAAAAGGTGAGCCTTGAAAGTAATTTATATAAATCTCTAAATTGCCATTTTAACTTAAGATTTTGTGTTAGTGTTGCTAGAAGTGCAAACATACTGTTTGAATATAACCCAATCAACTCCACTGCATTTTCCAGGCATGCCTTGCATAAGAATAATTCTGTCAACAGCACATGACATATGAGATGGTGGTCCCACAAGATGAAAACAGAACAGGAGCTTTCCCATAGCCTAGTGCTACAGCCATCATAGCATCTTAGCACGATACATCTCTTGGGATGATGCGAATATAAACAAGTTAGCTCTGCTATCAATCATACAAACATCATCATACTGATGTGGATTGTACATGATACCTGTGGTGGTTTGAATGAGAACGTCCTCCAGAGGCTCATGCATTTGAACCCTTGGTCCCCATTTGGTGGCGCTGTTTTGAAATTTATGAGGTATGGCCTTGCCGGAGGAAGTGTGCCAGTGAGGGCAGGCTTTGGGAGTTAAAACCTTGAGGCACTTCCAGTTTGCTCTTTCTGCTTGATGCTTACAATTCATATGTGAGTTCTCAGCTTCCTCCCCCAGCTACCGTGCCTACCTCCGCCTCCACCCTGCTGCGATGGACTCCGATCTTCCGGAGTGAGGGTCAAAGCAAACTCTTCTCTAAGTCGCCTTGGTCATGGTGTTTGGTCACAGCAATAGAAGAGCAATTAACACAACATCCGAAAGTGAAAAATGACGAAGTTGCTGTCATTCACCATATTTTTGTTGTGTATTCTATTTATGAAGAAAGGTTAGCTGTAAAATAGACTTGGGAAGATTCCTTTTGGTGGGCTTTCCAAAGAGGGCATCAATATCAGAGGCGGTGGCAGCTCAGTACATATTATCATCCTTGAAAGCCATCTTTTAGGACAAGGTTTTCAAGTGAAGTCAAAGAAAATGATGATCTTGACCGTGTAGAATCCTGGGTTCATGTGTGTTTTTGTCTTCATTTTTAACAGAGAGTGAACAACAACAACAAATAGGAATATTTTGCACAGCAAGGGTGTAGAGAAAATGTTTTGTACGGCTGCACAGAAGCTTGTCATTATTTTACTACTATTGAGATTTTGCATTGTTTCCTTCTTTTAATTATTTTTATTATAAAATGACTGCAAAATAGTGATATTACATGTGATTGAAATAGTCTTTTGTATAATTTTTATTTATTTTCTGAGAATAGACATGTACAACATACTTAGATCATAACCATCCCTCCATTACCTCCCTACCACCCTCAACTTCCTGTTCTCTTCTTCATCATCTTTATAACTCACTGAGTCTAGTTAATGCTGTCTGTAACATGCATGGGTGTGGGACCGTGCTCTGGAGCATAGACAGCTGACCAGTGGGTACACACACAAAGAAGCATAGTCTCCCTCCACAGCCATCGCATGCTGGGGATCTAGAACGGCCTAGAACAGGCTCTGGAAATGCCTGTGAGAGATCAAACAGAACAGGTTTAGTGAGACGGGAAGAGGCCCCCTAACTGTACGCAGCATCAGCCGTGGACTTGGGTCCTAAACTCAATAAACAGGAGGAAGTGAGCTGAGGCTCTGGCATATGTCTCTCTCTGCTTCCTTCCTGACTGTGGGACCAACAGACCAGCTGCCTCAGCCCCTTCCCTGCCCTGACAGACTGTGACACACTCCAGCTGTGACCCAGATTAAACCCTTCACTCTCAAGCTGCTTTCATGAGAGTATTTTTATCACAGAGAAAGGAAATTTAACTAATTATTACAGATATACACGCTCATGGTTACATTTCAAATAATTTAAAGATGTAATTTTCCAAATTAGACAGCTTCAGGTACAGCACACCAAACTGTTCAGAAGTGGGAGGAGACATTGGCTAGCCTCGGGAGTGGGAGAATTATCATTTGATTGAACCACATGATCTGTGCCCTCACATGACAAAACTATTTAACACAGACTCTATTTTAAATCCGAAACTGTCTACTTGGCTGACATAAGAATCACTTCATTCTCTCCTCCGACTCCCTCTACCTCTTCCCCCCTTCTCTCCCTAACAGAAAGTTCTTTGTGAGGACCAGGACTGGCTGAGGAGCCTACCTGAGATCTACAAGGAGGGCTCACCCCACATTTCCTGGCTTACTCTGAGGGAAGCACTGTCACCCCACACTGACGTTTGGAAAGTTTAGTTTGTCAATGACATTTGTCTAGACAATAACAAATTTAGGCTTAAATATAATTTTCTTCCTTTAAATGCGGTATTATTGCTTTAAAAACATTCAAAGTGCCCTAAAAGTTAAGAAAAAAACAATTAGACATATCTGGTGTTCGCCAAAGCTCAATGCC